CATTATATTTTTTCTTACGATAAGCTTTACGAGTTCTATTGACCATTGACACCTATGACGTTTCAGTACCACGTGACCCCTATCTAATTAGTGGAAATTTTTACTTCGAGGACCCTATTTTACGGGCGTTTTATCGTCAAACTACGGCTGTTTTCAACATTATTTCAAAAATTAAACGATAATTATATGTTTCAAGAATATAATAGTGTTTCATTTTTAAGAAATTTAGATACGTGATAAAAACCCTTTAAGGTGTGTCACTCGTCAGCTTTTTAGAAAAGTTCATTCAGAACCTTTAACTTCAAAACTATTTATTACAATTCAATTTTTATAACATATTTAAATGAAACAATGCAAATTATTCAACATTCAATTAAAAAACTGCTCTCAAATTCATAAAGAAGCAAGATTTATGAGGGACTTTTTCTTGTGGTGGAAGGATATTTTGAAGAAAATTCTTCAAATCTACACATTTGTCAAATTTATTATCTTGGAACTTAAGCCCCTCATACTTTTACTTAGAGAATATTTTCGTTATGATATAAAGCAGAATTTGTCCAAAATCTTGTACGTGAAAAGAAGAAAACACTTGCTGTGGCCTTCAACTCGACATTTAGATATATCGATGACGTATTGTCAATTAACAATGGCTATTTCCATTCTTATGTCGATACGATACACTACTGTAATGATTTTCCCCTTAGATTCCAAAAAATCCCCTGACGTTCCCCTGTCTGTCCCTGACATTTTCCTGTCTCCCGCTGACTTTCTCCTATGATCCCCTGTCGTTGTCCCTGACTACCCTGTCTACTCCCTGACGTCCCCTGACTTTGCCCCTGTTACCACTGTCTAACCCCTGATGTCCCCTGACATTCCCTGACGTCCCTGTCAACTCCCTGATGTCCCCTGACTAAGTCCCTGACCACCCTGTCAATTCCCTGTTGTCCCCTGACATTCATTTTGACCCAGAAAAAGGGTTAAAATATGTTTTTGTTGCTATTTACTTGTGAGAAATACATTACTCTTGGCAATTCTTAAGTTTTGTGAAAATATATATACTTAGTCAATTGTTATTTGTTTGAATACCTTGAGTAATTTATTTCTTAATATGATTGTATATGATTGTTTTAGTTTAGTATATGTAGTGTTTAGATAAAATTTATGGAGAATAAATGCCAGTTACTTTGAAAAGAATGAATAACAAATTTATATTGCGTCTTGTCATGAATGGCAAGTAAATATATCTATATTTATTTATATGTTCATCTATATATCCACATGTATTTATTTATTTATTTATTGACTAATTTATTAATTAAATCTATTCATGTATTTCTTTTTAGATATATTTTCCTTATTGAATTATTAAATATATCCATTTGTTTATTCGTAATTAAATAAAACAAATAAGTAAAAATAAATTAAATAGATAGATTGAATACAAAAATAAATACATTAATGGAAAAAAAGAATAGATAAATAAGCAGACAAATTAATAAATAAACAGATACATGAATAAAATCAATAAACAAATAAATAAATAAAAAAAACAGATAAATAAATAAACAAAAATATATTTACATGCCATTCGTGCTACACAAGACGCAATAGTTTATTTTTTTAAGTATCGGCATTTATCCTTATTAAGATTTATCTGAAAAGCTAGTAACAATCAATAAAATAATATTTTGATAGAATTCGCTAATTATATTTCAGACAGAAAAACTACTGATTAAATCTACATTTTCACAAAACTTGAAAATTGCTAGGAGTAAGGTATCAATTTTCTCACAAGTAAATAGCAACAAAGACATATTTTAACCCTTTTTCCTGGTCAAAATGAATGTCAGGGGACGACAGGGGGTTGGCAGGGTGGTCAGGGACTTAGTCAGGGGATATCAGGGAGTTGACAGGGACGTCAGGGAATGTCAGGGGACATCAGGGGCTAGACAGTGGTAACAGGGGCAAAGTCAGGGGACGTCAGGGAGAAGACAGGGTAGTCAGGGACAACGACAGGGGATCATAGGAGAAAGTCAGCGGGAGACAGGAAAATGTCAGGGACAGACAGGGGAACGTCAGGGGATTTTTTGGAATCTAAGGGGAAAATCATTACAGTAGTGATATATCCTTGTGAACTTGAGATAAAAGATACCACAGAGTCTGACACATCTGTTTCATATTTGGATATTTTACTTGAAAAAGACGTTAATGGTAATCTAACAACCAAGCTTCATGATAAACGTGATGACTTTAACTTTTCAATCGTCAACTTCCCTTACTTATGCAGCAATATACTTTCATAACCTGCATACGGGGTATATATCTCTCAGTTGATTCGATACGCAAGAGCATGCTCTACGTATGTACAATTTCTAAAACGAGGTAAATTATTGACAAATAAGTTGATGAAAAAAGAATATCAGCTGTCTCGTTTAAAGTCATCATTTCGTAAGTTCTATGGTCGATACAATGACCTTGTCAGCAAATACAATTTATCATTGAGTCAAATGCTGACTGATGTTTTTCACACTAATTGTTAGGCCATTATTTACACACTGAATTGTCGACGGATTTTTCCGTTATTTCCCGATCATGACAAGGAGCACACGGCGGGTGTGACCGGTCGGCAGGGGATGCTCACTCCTCCATGGCACCTGATCCCACCTCTGATGTTTGGAGGTCCGTGTTTGCTCTGCTCCTATTTTGTATTGATTAATGGACTTTTGAGCTTGAATACTGTTCGTTATCTCCATATATTTCATGCTAGGAATATTAAATATAGGTACCAATTTATATTTTTAGAACAAAGAACGAGTGCACTTATGGGCCCCGGTAAAATGTGAAAAAATGAAGAATCAAATTAAGCATAATTTTTCATCTCAGATCATTAATTGATATCTAAACCATAAGATTCAACAAATATTATCTTTGAAATTCATGAATATACAAAGAGCAAAGCCTTACAATGTGGTAGGGGTCAGCCGACATTCATTATTTTCTATAGTAAATCGAGGACGGTCATTCAATTCAAAGCTTTTGTTTACTGTCAGCCTAACGTTGTACAAACTTGTGCGAACGACAAAAAGCGCATTATACATTTATAAAACTTGTGTGGAAGTAGGAAATTTGTACAATATTAGGCTTGTACTTAAAAAGCTAAAAATGTATGAAAAGTTCAATATTTTTTCTACAGCAAACGAGAGCTATGCTATTTACCTGTATGACCTTTGCTGAACCCACCCATGGAATAAATTATTCAAGATACCGGTAGTCAGGTAAGTTCTACCCAGGTAAATATTCCTCAAAGGTGCTCACTGTGAAAGATAGCCATGTTCTGTATCATTATATCGAAGTCGTGCCGCATAGAGAAGTTTGTATGTATTTGGTTTTATGAAAACGGGAGGGTTAGGAGAGTTTAGTGTCGTTAAAATGTCATCATACATAAAAGCGTCAAACATTTTAAACATTCATGCAAGACAATGGTACCGGGAATGAAAGCCACCTAAATACACTTTTTTCATTTCAAAATTTAAAAGAACTAATGTTAATACTTATTGTATTATTTCAAATGCAAGCGTGCAAATTTCTTAGTTTGAACACTATGCCTACAGGCATCTATACAACTTCCAATTTTTTTTCTCAGGTTAAATAGCGCAAGATTATCATTCGGAAAAGGCGCCTGTCAATGATCCACCATCAGATTGTTCAAGTGTCCGATTTAAATGTCTCCTCCCCTTGAATTAATAAACGAAACTCAAAATAGGTTCGGTACGACTTTTCCGGATTTGGGGTATCTTTTGGCATTTAAAAATCTTCATTTGTTTCAAATCCATGCTGATTTAGGTGATGTTTTTACGTGATTTTAATTAGAAATATCCACTTGTGTTTACCAAAACAGAACAATTTTGTAATATGTGCTAAAGTAAAATGGCACTGAAAAAAGGCCCATTTAGCATTGCGTAAGTGCACTTGTCCTTTTACACACTCACTGAACAGACTTTGCCAAGAAATGAAGATATATTAAAGAAGTCGAGATAAAATTTACACAGTTTTTTGCCTGAAAATCACACATTTTGACCAATATCTCAAAATTTACATCACTGACCCCAACTTTTTCTTTCATTATTTTAAACAACACGATACTTCCAATCTGTCTGCACTTAAGTCATAAAGTAAATATTTTACTGTCTCTTTAGATTTTTATACCCCAAACATGATACTTTTTTAGTGCAAAAAGGTCACACAATTTATGCGCATTATTTTGTATGATTTGTTCAATCATAAATATTATTCAAAGTATTTTACGTAAAATAAGATTATATTTATTGCCTTAATTACATCTGATTAAATAGGATAAAGATTAAAGTTACAGTTTAAGTGCAAAAAGGTCAACTTAATTGTACCGTAGCTCAGTCCATTGTCTTTGCAATTTTGAGTCATGCTATACGAGTACTTATCTAAAATACACTTCTCAAAAAAAAAAAATCCTTGATATAACAAATTTCACGAGTGACATACCTTAAAATGTGTTATTAGGATAAATTTATATGTAATTTAACCCTTATGATCAATTAGACTAAAATAAAGAATTAAAATTGTTTCAGTAGAAAGAGTTCTTAGATACAATTAAATATATAGTATTATTCAAGAAATTAATATTGTACAGAACGACAATAATGTAATTTTGCTTCAATCAAAGCTTATAAATAGTTCTTCCTTCGCAAATGTGACCGCGACTGGGAAAAAGGGGCCAGATGCGGCAAACGTCATAATGAGAAATTGGCTATCAAACTTACGTCATAATAACAAGCAAGGCGCGCTAAAAACGTTAGACACGTGTTTGTTTTGTTTTGTTTTTTTTTCACTTATTTCAATGTAATTTAATTATCAGCTATGTCGTCTGATCCAAAAGCTGTCAATGATATTTTTTTTTCTTTCGTTGGTTTTAAATTAAGCGCCAAAATATTGAAACGGAAGTTTCCGATTTACTCCCCTTTTGTTTTCATTGGTGATCTAATATGGCGGTCAATCTAAAGAGAAAAGATGAGTCAGGAGACAAGAAGTACGTGTTCTATACCACAAGAAATTTTAGATAACCAAGATCTTAGTTTCATAGAAGAATTAAACATTGTAGATGAATTGTATTTTAATGAAAATAAAAATGTGATCGAAAACGAAAGCAGTTCTGACGAAAACTTTGAATCTGATTCCGACAATGATGAAGACGTGGACCTTGTAAATATTGAACCATCAGATGAGGACACACGGGAGTATGTTGCCCAGGCCCGTTTTAGAAGTGATGCATGTGGATGTAGGGAGTTCTATGGTGAACCATGCAGTACAGTTATTGACGTGGAATCGGCAATCGAATTCCGAGAACACTGTAAAGAAATCAGCAAGGATGAACTTGATCCGATTATAAAAGCGTAACTGTTTTCCCATCGTCGTTCAGGTGTTCATACACAAGCAAAGAAACACAGAACAAAAGAAAGAGAACGGCCCTATCAAGAATTCTACTTCAAAGGAAAACGGGTATGTAGATTGACATTTTGTTTTATTCATGGAATAGAGAGGAAAAAGTTGCAGTCCATCGCACACTCTCTTGATGTTGATGGACTGTGTCCTAGAGTTCATGGTGGGACTGGTAAAGCTTCAAAACATGCACTGAGCTACCTGGATTCAGTGAGGATCAAGACATTTTTGATGAAATTCGCCACGGACAATGCCCTACCTCTGCCAGGTAGACTTCCCAATTACAAGGATCATCAAGTTCTTTTGTTACCATCTGACAAATCTACTGTAGACATACACCAAGAATATGAAAGTCTTGCTAAAGAAATGAAATACAGAAGCATAAGTCTGCGAACATTTCAAAGACAATGGCAGGAACTGTGTCCAAATATAGTTATTACAAAACCTTGTACTGATTTGTGTCAGAAATGTCAGGAAATAGAATTTCGAAAAGTGGTAATCTTGCTGCGGAAGAGAAAGAGCAATTACTTTCAGAGTACAATAAACATGTTCAGCTTGCCAAAGAACAAAGGGACTATTATCGTGAGCAGGTCAAACTAGCTAAACAGAATTTTCTGGAATTGCCAATTGCTCTTCAAGATTCAGGTAAGTTTTCAAAACAAATATTTGTAACCCATTAAAAATTATATGTAGGACATAATGTATATGTACATTAATGGCACAGAAACATGTATAACATTCTATGAAATTCTGATGGACTTCAATGCTCTAAATGTGATGAAGAGCTAAAGCAGGTAATTTGTAATAGTTATTTTAATAATATGTTAAATCTCAGCTTTGTCAGACTGAAATTGTACCAGTCTTGTTGCTGATTTTTCTTTTATATATATATCAAAATTCTTTCAATTTTTTAATAGGTAACCCACCACAGTCAGTTCAAACCACCTTGCACTACTTCTGGGATTATGCCCAGCAGGTCCATATTCCACACCATGCCCAACAAGTGGGCCCAATCTACTTCAAAAGCCCTCGTAAATGCCATGTTTTTGGTATCTGCTCAGAAGGATCAGGTAATTTTCATCATAGAAATTGTCTTAATTAAGGAATATTTTTCCTTTTGGTGATATTCATGATCTGTAAATCCTTTTTTTCACTTCATTTATTTTAACTCATTTCATTTACATTTAAGGCATATAATATACTCAAAAAATATACTGAGTCTACCCTTTCATTATGTATGTGTTTTTTTGGGGGTGGGGGGTGGGGGTGGGGGATACCCTTTCAAGACAATTATAATTTAGCATTTACCATGTAACATCTTTGATTTTAATTTATATGATTATGATTTTTAATATCTATATGATACATGAATTTAAAATGAGAACTCCACAGAGAGAAATTTTTGTTAAGTGATTGCTTTATTACCACTACATATTTATTTATTTGGATACCTGTTTGTTTATTTTTCATTCATGCACATGCTTATTTTACAGGAAAACAGACCTTTTATCTCATTGATGAAGCCGCTAATCCTGGGAAAGGAGCTAACAGTGTTACAAGCATGGTACATCATTACTTTGATAAGTTTGGGCATGGTTAAATAGATCTCAAAGTTCACTTTGATAACTGTACAGGACAAAATAAAAACAATGTTGTGTTATGGTATGGTCTTTGGAAAGTGTTGACAGGTAGGTTGATGCTGTAACTGTTATAATATATGTAATATTGTGTACTACAGTACACCAGTTTATTAGTGTAATGAACACTTTACATGAATTCAGTATATATCAACTGCATCTCATGAAAGGAAAGATATCATGTTTTCAACAACAAAGAAACATAGAATATTCGATGATGGTAGCTGGCCATACAAAATTTGAGCCAGACTGGCATTTTGGTGTTTGGAAGGTGCACTGGAGAAACACCAATGCTGAAACAATATCACAGGTACTTTTATTTACAGGTACATGAAAAATACTATGATAATCTAGTCATAATATATTTGTTTGATAAAGTTTTCTTTCTATGATTAAAAAATAAGAGATTTTATTTCATTTTTCTGGTGTCTTTTATAACATATTTTCCCTATGATTGTGTTTTAGGTAGCAGAATCCGTTTGGACTTCCAGTAGAAGTGGTCACAATATACCACAGGTTGTAGGCAATGGTGAAGATCCTGTCCTGTTCTATGAATGGAAGAATTATTTACAACAGTACTTTAAACCTCTGAAGTACCTAACCCGCTACCACCATTTCTACATGGATTCAGAGAATCCAGGAATTATTACATGTCGGCAAAATGCTTCCTCAGAAGCTGTCACTTTCATGTTACTGAAAAGCAAAAGTAAAGTTCCCATTCCAGGTGTTCTTCCTTCTCCATCAGCCATTAAAGGCCTTGAACCTGCTCGACAATGGTACTTATTTGACCACATCAGAGAACACTGCTATTCAGACACGGCAAAAGAATGTATATGTCCAAAACCTACTGTTCCCAAACAAGAAATAGACTTGACAGAATGCATTGAAGAATATAAACCAAAAGGTGGCAGAAAAAAGGCTTTACTAAATTAAGCTTGTAATTCACTAATTGTGACATGTTTCAACATGTATGAACTGTTTCTAATTATGTGCAGTTTATTAAAACATGTTTGCCTTAATGCTTAAAGTTTATAGGAAAGATTTACATGTTCTCTGGTTAATTCTGTACATGTGGTTGTTTTTAACATGTGTTTTGTAGATGTTTTAACAGTGTTTTATCAAAGCATTTATGTTTTTTTTTTTAATATGTACAAAAGTTGTAATTGATTGTTTTACATATTATCTGGTCAAGTCAGATTCTCTATATGTATGAATTGTGTCATACACATGTAAATAACATTGTTTTATCAGAGCATGTATGATTTGTTTAAAGTAAGGCAATTTGTGATTCACTGATGGTAAATTCTTCACATTGTGTAATTGTCAATTTACATGCTTTACCAAAACGCATGCTTTTAGTGAGTTACAAAGTTACAATGTACAGCTGTAACATGAAAAGGTTTCTATTCATTTTACCTAGTAACACTTTCATAATTATCTGCCAATCTGTAATTTATCCATATATTGATTGATTGTATATTGTTTTACGTCCCATTCGAGAATTTTTAACTCATATAGAGACGTCACCATATACCGGTGAAGGGCTTCAAATTTTGACCTTTACTCGGCACTCAGGGCCATTGAGCAGTGAGGGATCTTTATCGTGCCAACGCCTGCCGTGACACGGGGCCTCGGTTTTTAAGGTCTCATCCGAAGGACCCGCAACTTTCACTTCAAAGTGCCGAGCGCATGGCGAAGGAACAGTTGCTACCTATTTTTTATCGACTTAGGTCTGTCGCGGCCGAGATTCGAACTCACGACCTCCCGATCACGGAGCGAGCGCTCTACCGACTGAGCTACCGTGAACGGTAATTTATCCATATATGATAATTGGCTAATTGCCTTATGCTTTGCATAAGATTATTTAATTTCATTCTTTAGTATTAAAGTGGCGATGTAGTTATGTACCACCACCACATCATCACTAAGTACATTATACATATTGAGTGTACATGTTTATCTGTGTTTTAGCATGTTCTTATGTGTACTATGCAATGTGATGGGCATTTTATTTCTCAGGACGTTTATTGTATTTATTTCCCCAATTGTTTAAGGAAGCTCTAAACACTGCACACTGAAGAGTACTAACTCCAGGGTAGTTTTATGCAGTTAAAGTGATCTGCCCTTAAATGCAAGATTAGAATAAACTAGAATCTACAGTGAAAGACACAATGTGCACTAGACAAAAGTATTCTAAACATTATATTAGACCAATATAAAGTAACTGAATAAATTATTTGTATGTGTCTTCCCAATGTAAATAAATATATCAGTAATTTCTGTTCACTAAGAATTCATTGTCTTTGAACATTTTTTCCAGGGGAAATATGGTAGGTACCTTATAATGAAAATGAACTAGATAAACTCAATATATACACCTTTATATGACATACTTTTCTCCAAGTCCAAAAACAGTTTATGTTAGTGTTTAAAGCTTCCGTAAAAATTGAAGATTTATGAACACAGAATGTGTATGAAAATATGAAACTTTTATAAACACCGAATGTATTTGAACTCGTGTAAATATGATTATGTTAATGATAAGAAGTCTTCTTTATTTTGTTACCATGACAACAATGATTACAATTCTGTACACTTCTAGAATTCCTATTGCATTTCTATTTAAAAAAAAATTATTTAAGTCATTACTTTTCTTTGGTTTTAGACTGGAAGTACCCCGGTAATGTTGTGTTTACATATCAAAGAAAAGTGTGTGTTTTGAAACCTTAAAGTGCCTTTTTATAAAATAACTTAATAAAAGGTTAATGAACAAATCTGGTCATATCTTTAAAACGACTTAAGATATGACTCTGTTTTTTTGACAAAATTTTATTTATATTATGAGAATTAAAAAAATGACAAAAACTCAAAATCTGATTTTTGCTCATCTGGCCCCTTTTTCCCAGTCGCGGTCACAAATATGAACAACAGAAGTTTATGTGTTCTTTTTTTCTGTCGTTGAAATAGTTAATAACAATTTTGCAACAAAAATTTCCGACATCAAAGTTGCAGCTCATATTGCTTTAAAAGACAAGCAACACCAAGTCTGACTTGTACTTTCCATTCTTTCTTTGTCTTTTTGGCAGGATTGAAGCGCTGGCTGCAATTTGAAAAGGAGACATATTGACATTTGCCTATTCTGTAACCAGTATTTTTTGTTGTTGTTTAAAGCAACATAATTTTGAAAATCAGTGTACTAATTTGAAGAATTTGCCATCTATTTTGAAATTAAAATTTATTAAATTTGGATTTATAAAGTTGCGTTATTTCTTAAGAAAGGAATTTCAATAAAACGTTGCAAAAAAAAAATGTTAATACATCTGACAAACTCCAATACATTTTCAAAAATATAAACTCCCATAAAGTGATGAATACTTACATATCCACTACAGTGGTGCCTTTCACAGATCCCTTTACATGGATGTTCTCTTCGAAGGTCAGGCCTTCAAAGATGGTCTGTATCATATCTGTACGGACCTTTAGTGTCATCCCATTCACAATGATGCAAGTGTAGTAAACTTGTTGCTTATGTCTTGAGGCACATTCACCGCAAGGGAATATCGTGACTACCACAGCATCCACTTTTTTTTTAATTATATTTCTGAAAATGACAGAATTCCCCTCATTGAACCTTGGGAACTTTGTGGCGTCATAAACTGTGCATTTTATGGCTCTTGATTTATCGGCCACTGCACAGTTGACCAGGACTCTGTCTTCATTCTTTTCATTCTGTCTCTCTTGCAACAATCTTGACTTTTATGCTCTTAGTGTAAGGCACCTGTCCCTTCTGACTCATTTAATCAGTTAATGAGTAGTCTGAAACAAATAATCTTGAAAAGTAAAATTATGACATTGTGAGGTTTTGGAAATTATTGGGGAGTAAATTTTTCTTTGGTATGGAAATATTGCTTACAATTTTCTTTCATCACAGGCATTTGTTTTATATGCAGGCACTGCAGAAGTTTTAAGAATTAAATGAGATCATAACTCCTATGTTATTGACTTCTCTGATAAAAAAGATTGGTTTGTGATCAGAGTAGTACGATTCTAATGGTCCATGTAGATTTAGGTGCTCCTTATGGAAATGTATGTAAATGTGATCTAAACATGAGCCATAATCTGATGTCACAGTGTTTAATAACTGATGAAATGAGTATCTGTGCATTAAAAGTTCTAAAATGGAAGAATTTTGTAATGCCTCCTGATTAGTCTCCCATTAAAATGGTTGGTTTACAGAAATTAACGGCAGATTACAAGTAATGCATAACATCATGAAAATTGTTCTTGGTAGCAGATTTAGGTGGGCAAAAAATGAAACAAATATTTGCAATGTCCAAGACAGTAATCAGTAGTTCTATGCCACTTCTTGAGGTTGCAGTCATTTGGTTCTGGTTGATATGTGGTTTGTAGTAGACTGTCAAACCATGTTTGCTCTTTTGGTCATCAGCACGAAAGAGAGAATGTCCTTCAATGTGGAGTTCTAAATCTGCTTCAAATACTCTTGTCTCACACAAAGCTAAAATATCCATGCATTGCAAGACTATGTCTTTTTTCAGGTCATTGAAATGTTTCTTCAGTGAATGATAGTTATGAAAATATATGGTGTGCAATCATTGGTGATGTTACGCAGATCTGGTAATTTTAGTTGCAGTTTTGATGTTGACGTCAAACGATTCATTTCATCCTTGACATTTGAACAAATGCTAATTGTTATTTGCATTCAATTCCATGATATGGAGGTTGGATAAGTTCTTAATACGACTTAAACCAACATAATGAATGTGATCATTTTTTCTGCTACCGAAATGTAGCACAGCACTATTCATAGTTGACCCTTGAGCTTTATGTATGGTCTTTGCTGCAGACATTTGTAGGGGAAATTGCCTTCTAACAAAATTGTAGGATTTGTAATGCTGAATGTTAAAACATCCTGTTACCTCCAGTATTGGTGACCAAGACTGGGGAATGTCTGCCTTAGATAGATTTGAATATTTATGTCGCCACTGACAGCCTGATGAAGAATTTTCAAGCTCAACCCATACAATACTGCCACGCTGTGATGAGAAGACGCGGTAATCAAACATATTTTTTTAACAGGGGTCTCCATTTGTTAATCCATCTTCTACGCTTACATTTAAGCACAATTTAATGGTGGTCTAATAGCAAGATGGAGTCCCATGGTTTTTCCTGTCCAGTCCTAAACTAGACTGCTGATATTTTGTTTCATCAACTTGTTTGTCTATTATTTACCTCGTCAAACAAATTCAACTTGCAAACTTCAGACTTTAGAAATAATATATCCCATTGTCAGCATCAACACGAGTTTGTGAGATTGTGTAGATTAAAACAATATACAGTTTAAACTTTTTTTAAAATTCTAATTGGCGGCTTTATCTGAAGGCAGGCATTATTACAAGTGTTGTTAAAGATACATATATTTTATTGCGCGAAAAGACATATTAAGATAAAGGTTGGATACCAGCGGGACACATATAAATGATAAAATATGACGTTATTTTCAATCTTGGCGGTACCGTTCACGGTAGCTCAGTCGGTAGAGCGCTCGCTCCGTGATCGGGAGGTCGTGAGTTCGAATCTCGGCCGCGACAGACCCAAGTCGATAAAAAATGGGTAGCAACTGTTCCTTCGCCATGCGCTCGGCACTTTGAAGTGAAAGTTGCGGGTCCTTCGGATGAGACCTTAAAAACCGAGGCCCCGTGTCACGGCAGGCGTTGGCACGATAAAGATCCCTCACTGCTCAATGGCCCTGAGTGCCGAGTAAAGGTCAAAATTTGAAGCCCTTCACCGGTATATGGTGACGTCTCTATATAAGTGAAAAATTCTCGAATGGGACGTAAAACAACATACAATCAATCAATCAATCAATCTTGGCGGACATTTTGTAAGGGCGGACATAATGTGATGATTTTTTTGGAAAGGC